ATGACTTTTTATGATTAAATGACCAGTCATATAACCAGTAGTCATAAAATCATAAAAACTAAAATACCAACACTGGCTTAAAGAGAAAGGATATGAAACATAAGTGGTGGGATGTTAGTATCAATTTTTTTGTTAAAATGATATTTAATAAATAACTCTTTTATTTTAGACTCCCATGACAAAGGCATGTCATCAACTATTCCAAGTAAACAAGAACCCATCAGATGCTGACATTGAACAAGCTTTTAAATTACAAGTTCAAATGAATTGTTCTCAAAAGATGCAGGAGCTTATCATTTCAAACGAATGGGTCAATTTATGGAGTACTAGTCATTCTATTGTATATATTTTATTATAATTCATGAATATAATTATCACACTAATACAATTTTATACATTTTATATATAGATATTAGAATACTTTCGCAATCATAGGAGTTCTTACATCTGAAAAATAAAAGATGCTATTTATATCTTCTTAAACTTATTTTCTTACAAATTAGATCAATTTGCCAGTTCTGAGGAAGTTAGATCTTGGAAAAATTCGGAAAGAGTTGAAAAAGCAAGATACGATCTCTGGAATAAAATGGATGATAATAATCCAGATTCACTATTTATCATTAAGGCTATTCAAAAAGCATTTACTAAAGAAGAATTGCAAAATCAAGATAACATCAAATTTGGTATCACAGAAGTACTGATGTTTTTAGATCCGACTTATGATCAGGTTGAGATTTTGTCTTCAAAAGTATAAGAATGCATGAACCAATAGGATTTTAATCCAATTATATAAAGATGGGTAAGTAATTGCTAGTTTATTCAGATAATTTGACTATTAAAGATTCTATATACATTTAAATTTTAGCTTAAATGCAAAGAACCTTTAGAAAATGACAGAATAGAAGAACTGTTAGAAGATGATAGAATAGAAGAATAGTTAGAAGATGACATAATAGATCATGACTCTGATAATGAATCTATAGATTCTAATGATCAAGAGAGTGATTCAGAAAATGCTGGGATTGATAATAGTTAAAAAGTCATATTTCATTTGATAATAATATATTATAAATAATTATAATAAAAATTGTATTGCGTTGATCTATTCAATTAATCACGTGATATACGCAAGTGTTAGTGCAATGATCACGTTGACATTATTCCATTGAATCATATGATATACGCAGGGATGATGATCTCTGGCGGTGAAAATTTTCAAAATCTGCCAGCGCTTATTTTAAAATCTGCTCTGCTTTCTGCGGCTTATGATTATCATTTCTACTGATATTTTATATATATTAATTATAATTCCGCTCATTTCGGCGATAAAAAAAAATAAATTTTATTGATAAAGAAAAATTCAATCACCATTAAAATACATCATATTTA